AGTGTCGGTTTCAACAAAAAGTTATAAAAGAACCCGAGATAGAATTTTAGTAAAATACAATGACATTAAACCTCATTTTAATGAAAGTATTCATAAAGGAATTTTTCAAGGAAAAATGATTTCTTTAAAGAACGTAGAGGTTTACCGAGCGAATTATCCCGACGGGTACCTACGAGCCCAATACGATAGGTCCGTAGAATTTCGAATATTTAATGTGGGTCCAACGCCCACATTAGTTTAAGAGATTCCGTTGGAGTATAAATTTCAGCGGCGTAAAAGTTAGAATGCCATGTATAAGTCCTAGGCCGAATTGGGCCTTAATATCATACCAAGGGAAATTTAGGAAAATAAGATTTTGAAGATTTAATAAATTAATCTTTATTATCCTTTGGTAAAGGAAAGGAATATATGCCTTATGGAAATGGTTAGATTTTCCTTCATAAGTTGCTAAAATAAAATAGCAAATAATAGTTAATCTCACACTCTTAATGGGTGTTCAGTTTCAGAAGAAAGCAAGAGACTAGGCTGATAGGCAAAAAAGGGATTCCAGCTTTGAAAATCAAGTAAGTAGGAATCTCGCCTACAGTATAAATAGATTTTAAAGTAAACAGTACACATGAACTATATATGTTTGAGTACATTTAATGTTATGAATGCTATGCTATGTTATACTACATACACTTAGGCAGTACACCCGAATTATATGTGTTCGAGTACATGATATAGTATGCTATGCTAGGTCATATTGCATACACCTTAATAAGTCAAGAGGAACTTATAAGAGTAATCTCAGTTGAGTGCCGTACCAGCCTCCACAAGGGAGGTAACTCAAGCTCCACAAGGGAGAAAAAAATAATAATAATGATGTCCTCCGACTCAAGGGAGGCATTCAAGTTATAATCACGGTGTCATGGGGGACCTTGCAAACCCTCACGTCCCGATGATTGCGCGCAAGTGGTTCGAGCACTCGGGCCCATCAGTAAGAAAGATAAGATAAGATAAGATAATAAGATTCTGATAAGACATCATAATTAAGCATAATTGGCTCATGCATATTTATTCATGTGAACGCACAGTTATTTTGCGGGAGATAGTTCCTACTTGCTGAGCGAAAGCTCATTATAGAATGTTTATACTGTAGGTAAGCAACCGGCATATAATGCCTGATGGACTGCTGGCGAGTGGACGAACGATGTGGAGCTCGGGATATGGATACCACTCGCAAATATTTCCGCAATCAGCTTTATGTTACAAATAGTTTTGTTAATTATGATTATGAAACAGATATGTTAAGGTTTGAATATTTTAATTAAGAAAGCAATTTCGTATTTTATGTTTATAATAAGACCTTTTAAAAAAAAATGTTCCGTAAATTTTAAGAAATTTCAGTAAGTACAAGTTAAAAAGTTAGTTACAGTGGCGGCCTCAAATGAGGGTCGCTACAGTTCTGAAACATTCTTGAACCATATTCCCACGGTTCTTGGAATTCGGTGGGCTGAAAAATCCTAATTCGAACTTTTCACTGGTGGAGACTAGAGTTTGGCCAGAATCTAGGAACGGTTGGTTTGGTTTTATGGTGTCATATCAGCTGCTAAGGTTTTATGGTGTCATATAATAACAACCAGCTTTCATTATTCATATGTACATTTATATTGAACCGAAGTAGAGTACAAAGAGATATTAAGAGGCAAGGCTTTTTTTTTTTTGTTTTTACTCTTCAAATTAAAACTTTTCTCCTTCCAGGAAGTTTTATGGGAAAGATAAAAGCTTGAATATAGTCTAATTGATTTTCTTTACCGAAACATATTTAGGAAGACACTATTAGAAGTCAAAAAATAGAGAAAAATAAACTGAAACAAAAATAACAGAGAAATAGAGAAGATAAAAATTTATTTAGTTCGGCAAAATTGTTTATGTCCACAGAAGAGGGAGAAAAATTCACTAACAGTTTCAGCATTACACACTCATACAACTTTCTCACTTTCTCTCTCTACCCCAAAACCACATACATCATTGTCTATCTCTCTCCTCGCTTTTCTCTCTTTCTCTAAAAAATATGCATTATTTCTCTGCACTTTTCTCTGAGCACAATTTTTTTGAGCACATAAAGCCTTACACAAAACACTTATTTATACTCTTAGGCCTCGTTCATTTCATCGATTTGAGTTTTCAGTTATAGGTTTCTACAGTTAAAAACTCTCAGAAAATGCCACATCTAACTTTTTTTATTACAGTTAAAAGCTTTCAGAAAATGTCACATCTCAGCTCGAATGAAAACTTAAATTCGTGAAGGGAACGAGGCGTTAATAATTCTTGCTCAAAATTAGAAAATAGTAACTTACTCAAGGCGTTAATAACTCTTGCTCAAAATTAGAAAATAGTAACTTACCCAAAAAAATAAAAAATAATAACTCTCTCAAAACTAATTTGAGTCACTTACCCAACAAAACAAACAAGCTCTTAGTCAAATATAAATATGTTGTTATTATTATTATTTATAAAATACCTTCAATTTATCCTTTCGTTTTTAGAAACTACAAACGTATTCATTAAATTTTGAAAAACTGTTATCAATGAAATCTATGTCTAAACGCAACTATAGCTATCCACATTGCACTTGGCCAATGGCTCCAATTCCACTTTTGCAGATGTTCCACTATTCTTTTATTTTCTTATGTATCGTTCAATTATAATACTTATTTACATGGAAAACAAAGTACTTGGTATGCACACAATACACGCGAAGGTAACGATGAATATGACGGGTTATCTAAATACGATTGAATGAAAGCTATTTTCCACACTGATATAGATTGGTCACTTTTTTCTTTTTCTTTCCCTTGTTCTTTGTCAACGAAAGTATTAATTATTCTATGCTAACAGAAAAATTACCAATTGTCCTAAGCACGATAATTTAAAAAAGTCACGACGAAACATTCTCAGATATTTCATTGATCTCGTTGACAAACATTGATGGAGACATGATTAATTTCCTGATGAGTTGGTTTTGACTTTTTCAACAGTTGGCTCTATGCCTAGCAAGCAAGCTTTTCTAATCCAATGTTTTTTTGGGTGTAAATCACTCTATCAGCAATTTATTCCTTCCTGGAGACGCTTCTTTTTCGAGCAGGCTTTTGCACAAGAAGATGGCTAAAGATTATTTTCCGGCTTTCCGGGTTTTCCCGGAAGCTGGTACTTGCTGCAATTTTTTGAACTTGAACGGCCCTTGTTCCTAGTGACTGGTACTGTACTTATGCGACTGTAAAAAAAAATTCATTTCTTCTCTCACAAGGTATCGCGTTGATAGAGTAATAATAACGTTGATCATATTGATAATAATTCATAAATCCTAGTATCTATCCTCTTGTCCATATTATTTTATTTTCAGTTTCGTACTTGACTTTAGGATATGGACACCACATTAGTTTAATGCCAGCTTCATTTTATAAAGAACTCCATGATAGACGAGTCAAGCTTTCTCATTCCGATATAACTTTCTAGAAGGAGAGAACTAGCTTTGAACTTAAAAGGATGTGTTGAAAGAAAACAAAAAACATGGAGAAGGGGAACATAGAAAAGCCTTGCCTCTCAGTTGTACTCTGATTCGCTTTCATACGACTATACATAACCAATGAAGCTTGTTGTAATCATATTCTTCTTCTCTCTTATCTGCTTCCACATTTCCTTGTTAGCGGATGACACCATAAAACCAAACCAAACTCTACTAGATACCGTCCAAACTCTGGTTTCCACCGGCAAAAAATTCGAATTAGGCTTTTTCAGCCCACCGAATTCAAAGAACCGCTACGTGGGAATATGGTTCAAGAATGTCTCAGAACTCACAGCCATCTGGGTCGCCAACAGAGACAACCCTCTCGCAGACTCGTCAGGTGTCCTGAAAATCACTGAAACCGGAAACATAGTAATCTTCAGCAACAAAACGGAGAACCCCATATGGTCCTCAAATTCATCAGCAGAAGACCCAACTTTGCAGCTCTTAAACACAGGAAACCTCGTGGTTAAAGATGGTAACAGCGGAAAATATACGTGGCAGAGTTTCGACTATCCCTGCGATTCGCTCGTATCGGGCATGAAGCTGGGTCGGGACTTTATAACGGGTCAAAATTGGAAGCTAACCTCCTGGAACAGCTCCCAAGATCCATCCACCGGAATCCTCACATACGAAGTAGACCCTCGTAGGCTTCCTCAGGCACTTTTGCAACGAGGCAAAAATATCACGTACAGAGATGGGCCGTGGGATGGTAGCAGCAAAGTCCAAGTTAAAATGGCCTTTAAACCCAACTATCTTGTTAGTGAGACCCATTTCTACTATACTTTCGAGGACACCGACAATTCCACGGTTACTCGGTTCTGTTTAGATCCATCAGGATCTCTCGGGCAGCTACTATGGAGCCACGACAGCGATAAGTGGGTTATCGTCTACGCGATGCAGAGAGACAATTGTGATGATTTTGCGCGTTGTGGTCCTAATGGTGTCTGTGACACCAGTAACACCGTTATTTGCGATTGCCCAACTGGGTTTGTTCCAAAAACACCAAATGAATGGGCTTCAATAATTTTTAACGGTGGGTGTGTGCGAAAGACACGCTTGAACTGTAGCGCTAACGAGAGGTTCCAGAAGTTCTCTCGGATGAAGTTGCCGTACAATTCGGAGTTTATGGTGAACGGGTCGGTGGTGAGGAAGGAGGAGTGTGAGTTGATTTGTAGGAGGAACTGCTCTTGTGTGGCGTATGCTGTGGCTCGGTTTGGTGGCTGTGTAATCTGGGCCGGAGACTTGCTTGATATGAGACATTTCAGCGATGCTGGACAGGATCTGTATATTAGAATGGCTGCTTCTGACTTTGGTGAGTCTTGCTTCTCAGTTCTCACTTTTTCAAGTAATTTTGTTTGAAGTGCAGAGTAAGTAAATTAGTACACATCTAATTTCTGATAACAAATGTATTCCATTTTTCTACCAAAAAATTGATGTATTATTTCATTTTAGCAAACTTTGAGTTCGGTTTTTGGATAATTGTAGAACTTTTAAAAGGTCATTAACAACCCGGTTATAATGTTTTTGCCTTGCCTTTTGAGATTATAGCACACTTTCATGGGCTTACATTTTCCTCCATTTCTTTAAATTTTTTAATACTAACTGTCAATTCATTCCATGTTACTTTTCTTCTACGTTATGCTTACGTTCTGATTATTTTTTAGCCATACACAAGAAAGGGAAAGCGTAAACACGTGTTTCCTTTCCCATTCAACTATTTGCTTACTAATAAATTAAGAATGGTAGTTTGGTACTGACCCCAAACATTATAGAAAACGAGAAAAGAAAATAGGAAAACTTTTAAAAATACTTATTGAAATATAACTCTTTTTATTTTTACCCTTAAACATTAGTACATACTAGTTCAGGTGTAGATTTTTAAAAGAGATATTTTTAATAAGTCAGATTCTTAAAGAGGTACTTAAACATTTTTCGTACTGATTTCGGGTTAAAAGTAATGAATACGAATTTTTTTATACCTTTAATGAGTTCACATGTTATGTTTAAGAAATTACGTTAATAAACATTTTTATTAAGGAAGTATATTGTTTGTTATTCCAACTTTTATAGGTAAGTAAATACTAGAAAGAGAATAAATGGTACTCATTTTTATTTCTTTATTTTACTTTTCAAATTCATTACCTTTCTCATAAATATTAGTCCATTGAGGTTTGATAAATGTGTCCTTAATACATTCGTTTTATTCTGTTGTGGTTGTTTATAGTCACAGGATCAAACAAGAGCAAAAAGATTGTGGTGATCATATAAGCAATTTTGGGGTTCATTCTATTATGTGTAGTAGGTGGATGTCTCATCTGTAAGAGGACATCCTGCTGCCTTATAAGCCAAGGTAAGATATAATATTTTCCTTCCGCATAATATCTTCAGGGTAATGATTAATAAGCATCTGGTAACATAACAAGTTTCAAGAAGAATATTTTTTGGTTTATACTTTGTTGTCCAATATATAACATACTATACAATTGTAATTTGTTTCAATTGGTGTTGTCACAGAAACTTCCAAAAAAGTAATAAGTTGAAAAATTCATTGACATAAAGACTAAAACAGCAGCAAAACTTGTGATTTTGTTTCTTCTAATCTTTATTAATTAGCCTTTTTATCTCTTGAAATTTGAGCATTATTGGTGGTAACAAGAAAAAAAAAATGTTCATTAGTGCTAGAAGGATTCAAATAAGAATTAGAAACGGAAAGTATTTAAGAACACCTCAAGAGCGGGTAGTTCTTTATTACTGCATGCAACCTTTTTTTTGGGTTTTTTTTGTAGAATGCAATATATAGTTCTTTTTTTTCTTTGCTTTTCCAATAGAAAGGTATGAATGTAATTGATTGATAACTAAAATTCATATCTATACATTTGACATGTTGTTTGTGGGAATTCATGAGTGTACGGAATCTTAACAAGTAATACAATGATAAAAAAAAAGTATTATTCTCACAGAGATTATGCTTAATTTTTATTAAATGCCGAAATTGGATCAACTCTAAAATTATTTGAACAACTGATTAATGAAAAAAAAAATAAATTAAATCTAACAAAGTAAACTAAGAAATGAAAATAAAATCTCTAGGACTACAATTTCACCTAATTAGTGTCATTCGAATTGATTTTACTCCCTAATTGATTGATTTTAATTAATTGAATTCTTAGCGTAATGTGCTAAATTACGTACTCATCTTTTCCGATAAACTAATAGGCACATTCATATTAATCAAAACCCCTATATTCCTATGAAGAATTAATTAAAACATATTCATTAAGCACAAGCACTCAAAATGACTATACATGCACTAAGGATGTATTCCTATTCTAAATTGCATATGCTACCCTATTGTTGTTCAAGACCAAAAATCCATTTTCTAATTTCATTCAAGTCCAACAAAATGACCTAACTAGTAGCCAACTAATTAGGAGCATTAAGAACCTAATAGGATAAACAATATCAATTAATCAAGTAAATATAAAATAGGGAAAAATCCGCCAAAATCCATCGATAGGCTAAATTGCAATCCTATAGAAATAGAAATCAATCCACACGCGGCGATTGATGAGTGGGCGAGGAGCTGCTATGGTTTGTTGGGAATGCACCTTGTCTGTGGGTGGCTCACACGCGCGAGATATGGGCGTTCATCACGTGATCGAACGACTGAAATGGATAATCTAAGACCTGCTTTACTCGTGCGAATGGTATTGGTTGATGTTGAATACCAAATTCGAATTTATGTGATTTTTCATTGAATTTTTGCCCCACTTTGCGTCAAATTAACAATTTAACCCCTCATCACGTAATTAAATTACACAAATGAAAAAAGTAATTATTTATTAAATAACAACAAAATAAAATTAATACTAAACTAAGTAAAATGAAGTAAAATTACACAAAAACAAAATAAATTAAGATAAAATCAGAATAAAATAAACTAAACAAAGATATACAAAATTAAACTAAAGAGAATAAACAACTCAAGAGCATAGCCCAATTGGATGCATAAAAAGGGTATAATTAACTCTATTGCATAAAGTTACGACATGTCCAAACTAACAAACATGATCCAGAAGACTTGCATTGATCACACAAATAGATATTGCAATACAATGTTGTCTGTGTGCCATTATGCATTTCAGTTTAATATCCCCGCTTCTGCAGAGGGAACAATGACTCCTACTCATTTAGAGGAAGATGTGGAGCTACCTTTATTTGGCTTTGATACTATTGCAAATGCTACCAACAACTTCGCCTTCACAAATAAAATTGGTCAGGGTGGTTTTGGTCTTGTTTACAAGGTACCTTAATGTTTTATATAATATGGATTATCTTACTTTGTGAAATGAACAATATTAATTTTTCCTTTGAGTTTTTTTATATACCTTTTATCTAATAACACTATTTTTTTATAGGGTGTGCTATCATCTGGGAAAGAAATAGCAGTGAAAAGGCTTTCTAAAGATTCTGGACAAGGGCCTGTAGAGTTCAAGAATGAGGTTACCTTGATTTCAAAACTTCAACACCGGAATCTTGTGAGGCTGTTGGGATGTTGTATTCATAGAGAAGAGAGGATGTTGATCTATGAGTTCATGCCTAAAAAGAGCTTGGACTTATACATATTCAGTTAGCCACCCTAAAAAATTACATTTATTTCTTATTATTTGTCCCTGTGGTTTATAGACATTGAAATTTAACTTCATATGTTGTAAATGGTAACAGATGAAACAAGGGAGACAGCTCTTGATTGGAAGAAGCGCTTTAATATTATTGCGGGGATTGCTCGTGGACTTCTTTATCTTCATCGAGATTCAAGATTGAGAATTATTCACCGAGATCTTAAAGCCAATAATGTTCTTTTAGATAGTGAGATTAACCCCAAGATATCGGACTTTGGCTTGGCAAGAATACTCGGAGGTGACCAAACTGATATAAATACTAAGAGAGTAGTTGGTACATAGTAAGTTCAATCTCTTTTTAATTATTTTTCTTCTCTATCTGTGTATAATATCCATATCTTACAACTTTATACAGTTGTCAAGTCTAATGGGATTTGCTTCTCTGTTTTGTTTTGATGTAGTGGATACATGTCTCCAGAGTATATGATGGATGGACACTTTTCAGTGAAATCTGACGTCTTTAGCTTCGGTGTCATGGTGTTAGAGATAGTGAGTGGGAAGACGAATAGAAGATTTGAACATCCCGATCATAACCTCAATCTTTTAGGACATGTGAGTTGTAACTTCATAGTTAATTTCCTTTGTAACTTCTTAGTTAATTTCCTTTGTTCCTTAGTTACAACGTCTTTTTTTTTTTTTTTTGGAAGAGAAACAACTTGCTTTTATTCCAAGGAGGCTGAATCAGTTTGTACAAAAGCACTTATAAACCTAGGATAAGAGTCTAGCCATAGATGTAACTAATGATTCTGAAATTTTGATTTGTATTAGGCATGGAAACTATGGATTGAGGACAGGCCCATGGAGCTCATAGATGTTTTAATGGAAAATGTTCCTGTAGCCGAAGTGTTAAGATGTATCCAAATTGGATTATTGTGTGTTCAAAAGCACCCTGAAGAAAGGCCCTTAATGTCATCTGTTCTCTTCATGTTGGAGAGTGATAATGCTTTACTGCCCCAACCTAAACTACCTGGATTTTACACTGAAAGAACTTTTATAGAGAGAGCTAGCTCTTCTTCATCATCATTGAATAAGCCAAATAATGTTTCTACTGGTGTAACTGTCACAGCATTACAAGGGAGATAGAAATAAAAAGGAAAAAGAAAAAGAAAAAGAAGAGAAACAGATGATCATGATCAAATTGATGCAACGAGAAATGTTCCATTGTTCTGCACTAATTCTAGTATTATTTTTTTTAAATTAGGAATATGTTCCAATATGTTTTAAGTCTTATGGATCTTCCAATTATAATACTCATTTAGATGAAATGATCAATGTAGTTAGTATACGCGATTACGCGTGGTAGGTAGTTAGATGAAATGATCAACTTGTAAGACAGAGAATATCTTACATGTATTGGTATGTAGATAGTTGAAAAAAACATGAGTCTTCATTGCCTACATTTTCAGTCATATTACCAACAGAACTTCGAAACAGTTATACACATTACAAAACCATGTTAATATTAACATGTGTGTAGTCGACCATCCTTTCCTACTATCAGGACACGATACTAAACCCTGCTATTTATGAACTCGTGAATAAGTACTCCACATGTATTTGCGGCTCATTCAAATAAAACCAATTAACAAGACAAGTCAAATCCAACTCCAAGATTACCACTAGATTACCAATAGAAGAGACGAAAATTTCCAATAAAAACAAAGGTAAGAAAAGCTCCACTACTGGGTAACCTCAGAAGACTTTAGCCACCTTGGTCGCAAGCACACGTTCTCGCCTTTCCACATAGTTAAATGGGAACCAACCGGCTTTTCCCTTACATTCACCTTCAGCCCAACCACTGCTTGAGACCTGCACAAGCACAGAAATATCTTTGATATTAGAGACGATGAAACAATAAATGGATTTGGATTTTAGTATTAAAATGTATAATCAAAGGCAATAAAATAGAAAGAAAATAGCTTGTACAAAATGTAATGGGGAAAATATTGGAAATTTAGCAATGGGAACACATTGAAAAGTTCTAAGATTTTCACTAAAATGAAATATGCAAACATAGAAAAAGATAGGTGGCAGAACCTTCCGGACAACGACATAATCACCAATAGACAAACTTAACTCCACATCAGTTACAGCTTTGAATGAATTCACAACCTTCAGACATGAAACAAATAGTTAGCAACTCAATAGTTCCAAAACTGGAAAAGATCCGTGGATGGCAAATGAAAAATATAAGTAAATAAGTTACCTCTCCCAAGAAATAATCCACATTGTCTGTTGATCCATCATAGATTTCGGAAGCAAAGACACCGCTGACCTCTTCATATGATGGTGGTGGAGGCATGCTGTTCTCTGTTGCTGGAGTAGATGGTGCTTCAATTCGCCGGCGCTCAGATAACATCTATTCACAAGAAATAAATTTCAATCATAATCACGCCAAGGACAAAGTATATACAACCAACTGAATGCCTAGAACACTCCGACTCCAACTGCAAGGCATTCTATATCATATATCAATATCAGGAACCAATAACAGAAAAGAAAAAGAAACTGCATTTATTTGCTCCATGTTAGCCATACTTGCTAGGCCTGCTTTTCTGCTACAACAATATCATAATCACGAAGAAACAACCGTTCTAAAGTTGCAGGTGCAAGAGATCCCACGCTTGTGTCTTGAAGAATAGACGCTGGATCAATTACTTTTACTGCCCATCCCAATCGACATGCAAAAGATGCAGCGGCCTGCAGCTATGAAAGGTCAGCCTGTAGCTTCAACCTGAAATGCAAAACAAAATGAAAACTCACTTTGAAACACGTTTTTACAGGAAGTAAAACAGTAGTAGTCTATGTGTCCAAAAAAAAAAAAACCAAAAGAAAAAGAAAAAACGGGGAGAAGGATGATTGAATTACCATGGCAAGTAGACGCTGAAGAGTCAACCTCTGCTGTTGACCTTCCACAGAAGCCATAGCTGCAGCGGCTTCTTTTCCCAATGTTGCCACATTTGACTTTAGCTCCTGAAGTTTGCCTTCAGCAGCTTCTAGCTTTATGATAAATTCAGCACTGCCTGTGGATTCCCGTAACTTCGCTTGCCGTCTAGATACATCAATAGCCTGTCTGGGTGCAAATCATAATGTAACGAACAACTTGAATGAATCATCAATCAAGCTTCGGATATCAAGAAAGCTGTAAATTATGTTAAAGTTTGTGTAACAGACTTTGTTAAACATCCATAACTCTCTTCTCCCCTTTTTTGGTGTTCAAAACTCATGGCAGAGTAGAATATATGTCTTACCCCTAAATCTTTGATAGGACAGAGTAGCATCGTAAAATCTATTATTACCTGAGCTTCAGCCTCCCGTCGCATTCTATCATATCGTTGAGCAAGATGTCGAGCATCTTCCAAGGGAGCTCCTACCTCAAATTTAAACCAAATAGGAGGAAAAAGTGGAAAACCCTACCTCAAAAATAGAAGCTCCTTCCTCAAAATTTTTTGAGGGCTTCGCATCCCGACGTCGCCCTCAACATTTTGAATCAATTAGTGTCGACCTCCACCGCCGGAGATGGCGGCTCACGGCGCGGATGACGGCGGCGCTCCGGTGAGCTTCCGTGCGTGATGGATTCCATAGGCAATATGGGTGTCATCTCGTTCTCCTCTTCGTTGTGAACTCATAGAAACAAGAATCACTCAATTCCGATCAATAACGAGTGAGTTAATAAATTTTGAGAATCATAAAATTTTTCTTGCAAGAAAAGACAAAGAGAGAGAGAGTTCGGCAGAGGAAGAGAAGAACGAGAAGGAGAGAGAGAGAGAGTACATGTAGAATAAGGAGAGGCAGAAAAATAAATATGAGAGAGAGAAATTTCAATTTTCATAACCCGCCAAAACATTTCATGATTTTCTAATATATATATATATTAAAAATAACTTTTTTAAAACGTTATGAAATGTAATCAAAATAAATTTTAATAACGGTTTTCAAAAACGTTATAATTAAACGTTATTAAAAGCCCCTTTTGGTGTAGTGATCGTTTCTTTAATTTTTAGGTTTTTTGGACAGGAAATGCAATAAAAAGGTGTCCTATGTTTTTGGGTGTTTCAAAACGATAATGAAGAAAAAATGGAGCGTGTTTACTGTTTTTTTATTTTATTTTATTTTTTTTGAAAGCGTTCGTTTTTCTAAATAAGGCAGGATTCATTAAATGAAATTTGGTTAGATTTTGTCTGACCTCATACAAAATCAGATACTTTATATTAGGATTTTCTTTAAGATTTTCCTATTTTGATGTTTCATTATTTTTATACTTTTTTTTCATTATCTGTGGATATTATTGTCTTTGTATGTATGATAGAAGATAATTTTGTAAATAAATGGAATAGTGGGCACTTTTAGATTCAATGTGCTATTTGTGGCATCATTTATGTAGATAACTCTTTTTTTTTTCCCCCTGTTTTATTCGATCGAGTCAAACATCTAAGGATAATTTCGTCCTCATGCATTGTTTGTGGGAAAGCTATCTTTTTTTATTATTATTATTTTTCCCTTAATGTAAGTATCAATTATTCTGAACTTGAAAAAAAGTTGCCTAGTCCTAAGCGTGCAAATTTGAAAAAGTCCAAATAAAAAATTGTTCACAATGTCGTTGATTATCACATTAATGACCAAATACAGATGGAGAATTGAGTTAGTTCACAATGTGGTTAATTCATGATTCTCTATAATATTTTTCTCTTACAAAAAATACACGTAAAACAAGAATGATTCTTGTTGTGTGGAAAAATGTGACGGACACATGGACGAACGATAATGCGACACGTGGCCTCAACTACTCTCCGCCGAGCAACAACCCTCGACGTCTATAGCTCTAAAGAGCCCAAGCACGAAGTCCAACTTAGGGCGACGATTCCTTCTGGTGTCGACAGATTGTGCCGTCGAGCTTAAGGCACAAAGATCCCTCGACCGCAGAATCGACCACCAAGAACGACGTTTGGGCTAAGCGTCGCTGGCGACGAGGGGAGCGTTCTCTGGAGGACGTGGCGAGTTGCGGACAAAAGTGGGGGACGTCTGCATGCATTAAATGCGAGCTCTTAAACCGCCCCACAGGGGACAGGAGAGTGTTACAGGGACACACAGAGCCGTAATAGAAGACTAATTGGCTGAGTGAACAGTACTGATTAGTGGGCTACGTCTGAGCCTAAAAAGGGGGAGCACTTGAGTGCTTCTGCCACGAGGAAAACCCACCCAGCGAAGGAAGCCCAGTATAAAAGAAGGGAGACCCCCTACGAGGAGGGGGGGTTCAGATCCAAGAAGAGAACAAAGAGAGTGAGAGATAACAATTGATGTAAATTGTAATCCCCTCAAAAAGAAATATACAACCACAGTGGATGTAGCTCTAATTTTACAGAGTGAACCACTATAAAATTCCTTGTCTTCTTTATTTGTGCACATCTCAAACTATACACATTATACACCCCAAACAATAAATTTGCACACATATTCAACACATAGGCCGATAATCCGAAGGGAAACCAAGAGGTGACACGGCCGGTTTTTGATGTTTCATTATTTTTATACTTTTTTTCATTATCTGTGGATATTATTGTCTTTGTATGTATGATAGAAGATAATTTTGTAAATAAATGGAATAGTGGGCACTTTTAGATTCAATGTGCTATTTGTGGCATCATTTATGTAGATAACTCTTTTTTTTTTCCCCCTGTTTTATTCGATCGAGTCAAACATCTAAGCATAATTTCGTCCTCATGCATTGTTTGTGGGAAAGCTATCTTTTATTATTATTATTATTATTTTTTCCTTAATGTAAGTATCAATTATTCTGAACTTGAAAAAAGGTTGCCTAGTCCTAAGCGTGCAATTTTGAAGAAGTCCAAATAAAAAATTGTTCACAATGTCGTTGATTATCACATTAATGACCAAATACATATGGAGAATTGAGTTAGTTCACAATGGGGTTAATTCATGATTCTCTACAGTATTTTTTCTCATAAAAAACACACGTAAAACAAGAATGATTCTAAATTCATAAATCAAATGTCTCCCTAATATTTCCTTGTCCCAAACATATTCCATTATTTTTTTGACTTTGGGATATCTGCGTGCAAAAATAGTTTATTCCAACTACTTATATTGAAAAACCTCCATAGTAGATCGGTCAAGCTTCCCCATTCAACCGATAAAACTTCCTGGAAGGAGAGACGTTTTAACTAATAAAATGCTTTAAAGAAAAAAAAAGGAGCATGGAGAAGGGCAACATAAGAAAAGTTTGCCTCTCAATATCTAGTCGTACTCTGATTCACTTTCATAAAACGAACTTGCATAATCAATGAAGCACGATGTTGTCAGATTCTTCTTCTTTCTTTTCTGCATCCGCAATTCCTTAGTAGCTGATGACACCATAGAACCAAACCAAACTCTCCAAGACACCGGCCAAACTCTGGTCTCCACCGGGGAAAAATTCGAATTAGGCTTTTTCAGTCCACCGATTTCCAAGAACCGCTACGTGGGAATATGGTTCAAGAATGTTTCAGATCTCACGGCCGTCTGGGTTGCCAACAGAGGCAACCCTCTCACAGACTCGTCTGGTGTCCTCAAAATCACCGAAACCGGAAATATAATAATCCACAGCAACAAAACAGAGGACCCTATATGGTCCTCAAATTCATCAGCAAAAGACCCCACTTTGCAGCTCTTAAACACAGGAAACCTCGTGGTTAAAGATGGCAGTAACGGAAACTATACATGGCAGAGTTTCGATCATCCCTGCGATTCGCTCATTGCGGGTATGAAGCTGGGTAAAGACTTCATTACTGGTCAAAGTTGGAAGCTAACCTCCTGGAACAGCCTCCAAGATCCATCCATCGGAACCTACACATACGAATCAGACCCTCGTAGGCTTCCTCAGGTACTTCTGCTCAAAGGCCAAGATATTGCGTACAGAAATGGGCCATGGGATGGTGTACAAACAGGCGGAGACAATCCTCTCCAGGAAAATGCGGTCTTTAAACCCAGCTATGTTGTGAATGAAACCCATGTCTACTATACCTTCGAAAACGCGGACAATTCCACGGTCACCAGGTTCTGGTTGAATCCATCGGGATCTCCTGGGCAGCTCCGGTGGAACCAAGAGAACGAAAATTGGGTTAGCATCTACACGATGCAGAGAGATCATTGTGACACTTTTGCGCGTTGTGGTCCTAATGGAATCTGTGACAGCAGTGACAACCGTCTAGATTGCCATTGCCCAACTGGTTTTGTTCCAAAAGTACAGGAAGAGTGGGATGCAATGGATTTTACCAGTGGATGTGTGCTAAAGACACGCTTGAACTGTAGCGAAAGCGAGAGGTTCAAGAAGTTCTCTCGGATGAAGTTGCCGTACAATTCGGAATTTACGGTGAACGGATCGGTGGTGAGGAAGGAGGATTGTGAGTTGATTTGTAGGAGAAACTGCTCTTGTGTGGCTTATGCTGTGGCTTGGCTTGCTGGCTGTGTAATCTGGTCTGCGGACTTGCTTGATATGAGACATTTCAGCGATGGTGGACAAGATCTGTATATTAGAATGGCTGCGTCTGAATTTGGTAAGTTTAAATTTGCTTCTCAGTTCTCACTTTTTCAAGTAATTTAGGGTTGTCTTTTCACAACCAAGGAATTTCCTCTTACAATAATTCAAAATCATCTTTTTTATTATAATATTTTTTTTCACGTACACAACTCAAATTCTCAACTTGAGCTGTGAAAAAAAAAGTTTGAAGTACAGAAGAAGTATAATTAAAAATTTATGTTAATTGCAATAAATCTAGTTTTAATTCATTGCTAATGTATTAATCCATTCTGGTGAACTTTGTGTTTTAGGCTTTTGTTTCTAAAAGCCGTTGGATTTTAGCCAAATATACAACTTAAGCAAATCAGACCCGTATAAATTGCCTAAAAACAGATGATAACTCTTTCTTCCTGGGGCAAGGGTTTTGTTGAAAGAATTTTTCGAAGACTAGTAGAAGTTTTGAAATGTCATTGCTAATGCACGTTATTAAATAACTTTTAGAGAAATCTTACAAAAGTCCTTAAAAATATATAGGTCTTAATTTTTACATTATATTCTTAATTAATATTTTTTTTAATTAAATAATTATACTGATAAAAAATATTAATCAAGAACAAAGTTTAAAAATTCATACCCATATAAGTTTTGAAAAAAGTACAGCAATTTTTTATATAATATTATATATACATTATCTTTTACTATAATACACTTTGTTGGAACAAGACCAACTCCAGACCCAAATAACAAGAAACCACATAATCAAATAAAGGAAAAATGAACACCAGAAGTTTACCGAGGTTCGGGGCAATAAATCCCCTACGTCCCCGTTGAGCTATCTCACAAGAGCTTCTTCCACTATTAGAAAGTTGATTACACCCTCAGTCTCACAACAATTACAGAAGAGAACCCACGAACCCTAAGTTCTTGAATCAGAGAAATCCCTAGCCCCAAATTACAGAGAAGATTACCCCACTTGGAATAGAACCCAGAAATCTTCTCAATACCCAACAAAGCTATCGACAGATTCTCTCTCTAGAACTTAGATCACCTCTCGCAGAGTTTTCTCTCTCTCTCTCTGTGTAATCCCAGAAATACAAAGATGAAGAAGTAGTATTCAACAGTACACGTAGCATATATATTAACAAAGAGGAAAGCTATTAATCGGTGAAACCTATCTTCCACGTGTCACAATCCGGTTGTAGACTCCTTTGGCTAAACGCTGCGTTTTTGGCTGCTGAGGGAATGCAATCAACTTTAGACTCGTTGTCGTTTTAGTGGGATTATATCAACAAACTCCACCTTAATCACATAAAACGACAGTGGCCTTTATGGAACGCATCTTGTGAGAATCATGGCTCGACTACCTCAGCTTTAAGTTATCCCTATGCTAAGCAAGTCCAAACATTTTTGGAACTTGCTTGCAGTGACAACTTTGGTAGCCATGTCTGCAGGGTTGTCATATGTGTTGACCTTCTCCAGTTCTATAACTCCTTCTTCAATCTTCTGCCTTACAAAATGCAATCTGACATCGATGTGCTTTGTCTTCTCATGATATACTGGGTTCTTGCACAAATGTATGGCAGATTGGCTATCCGAATGTATTACTAGAGCTGATCTTAGTACCTTTAATTCTTTAAGAAGTCCCTGCATCCAAATCACTTCTTTGAAACCTTCAACCCCTACTATATATTTAGCTTCGGTGCTGGACAGAGCTACTATTGGTTGTAGTTGAGCTTTCCAGCTTATACATCTTCCAGCTAAAGTAACCATGTAGGCTGAAGTAGATCTTCGTTTATCCCTGTCACCTGCAAAATCAGAGTCTACAAAACAATCTAGAGACAAATGATTAGAATTTCTTTTGTAAATGAGACCAATCCTTAAAGTACAGTTTACATATTTTAGTAACCATTTGATTGCTTGCCAATGTTCTTTTCCAGGATTGGACATATACTTACTTAGTACACTTACTAGTATGCTAAATCTGGTCTAGTATAGATCATTGCATACATAAATGATCCTACTGCACTAGAATAGGGAATATTGGCCATATTCAACCTTTCTTCTTCTGTCTTTGGTGACTGATCTGCCGAGAGTTTGAAATGGCCTGCTAGAGGAACTTTCACAGCCTTTGATTGGTTCATTGAGTACTTTTGAACTACTTTCCTTAAGTAGTTTTCTTGATATATGCACAGCTTGTAATTGTTCCTATCTCTCCTTATGTCTATTCCCAAAATCCTTTTAGCATTTCCCAAATCTTTCATTTCAAACTCAGAGCTTAACATTTTCTTCACTTCATTAATCACCTTGATGCTTGAGCTGGTAATGAGCATATCGTCTACATAGAGTAGTAAGTACACTGTCTGTTTTGTTCCAGCTTCTTTGAAGTGCAGGCACGAGTCATACTCACTTCTTTGAAAGCTAGCTTTAGTGACAAATTGATCAAAGCGTTTGTACCATTGCCTTGGTGATTGTTTTAGTCCATACAAGGACTTTTTCAGCAAGCAGACTTTGTCATTCCCCTGGTTAATCTCAAATCCTAGTGGTTGACTCATATAGATGATCTCATTTAAATCCCCATGTAAAAACGCCGTTTTCACATCCATTTGTTCTAGTTTCCAATCATTCAAGGCTACTAGGGCTAGAACAGTTCTAATGGTTTTATATTTCACTACAGGTGAGAAAATTTTTGTGTAATCAACTCCCTCTACCTGTGTAAAACCTTTAGCAAGTAACCTAGCCTTGAATCTTCTTGGTTCTGCTGCAGTGACTCCTTCTTTTAGTTTGAAAATCCACTTACAGTCCACAGGTTTCTGCTTTACTGGTTTGTTCACCAAAACCCAGGTTTTATTCTTAATCAGGGACTGCATCTCTTCATGCATGGCTGCCTTCCATTTATCTGCATCCGGACTGTTCATTGCTTCGAAATAGTCCTTGGGTTCCACTTCCTGCAAGTTTTCAGCTGTATTCAAAGCATATGTAATCATGTTACCTCCAGTGTACCTTTCAGGTGGCTTGATAGTTCTTTTCTGCCTGTCTCTTGATAGGAGATATTGATCTAGATTTCTAGATGTGTGCCTGTGATCCTATGCTATATCTGGTTCAGGTTCCTGATTCTCCTGAGGTGTGTGTTCAGTTTGGGAATTCGGGAGATCATCATCAGGTTGAGGGAATGTCTGATTATTTTCTTTTGGTTTCTCCACCTCAAACTGAAGCTCCTGTGTTGTAGATGATCCTGTTCCTGCAGAGATAGGAGAACTAGCACTATCTTGTTTTTCTTTCACATATGGCATATGATTCTCATTAAAAATAACATCTCTACTTATTATAATTTTGAAATTGGGACCATTCCTAACACATAGCCTGTATCCCTTAACACCTTTAGGATATCCTAGAAAGATGCATGGGACTAATCTAGGATCTAATTTTCCTTCCCTCTGATGTGCATTAGCAGCACATCCAAAGACCTTTAGGTTGCTTAAATTTGGAGGTTTGCCATTCCAGCATTCCTCAGGGGTCTTTAAATCAATGGGTTTGTAGGGAGACCTATTAATTAGGTAGCAAGCTGTTGTAGCAGCCTCTCCCCAAAACGGTTTAGGCAGGCCTGTAGTAAATAACATGCATCTTACTCTCTCCATGAGAGTTCTATTCATCCTCTCAGCTATCCCATTTTGTTGGGAGGTCTTTTTCACTGTCCTATGTCTCAAAATACCCCTTTCTTTACAAAAGTTAGTAAAGATTTCATGACAGAATTCCATACCATTGTCTGTTCTTAGGGCTTTTAACTTCCTATTAGTTTGATTTTCTACTAGGGCTATCCATTGTTTAAATTTATCAAAACAAGCATCTTTAGATTTTAAAAGATAAACCCAAACTTTCCTAAAGAAATCATCAACTACGGAAAGAAAATACCTGGAACCTCCATGCGTGGGAATTCTTTCTGGCCCCCATAGATCGGCATGGACATATTCTAGAGGCCCCTTTGCTCTGTAGGAGGATGATATGAATTTCAGTCTATGTTGTTTGCCTAGGACACATTGTTCACAGAAGTCCAAGTGCCCAATCTTGTCCTTTCCCGGCATTCCCTGCTTGCTGAGTTCTTGCAGACCCCTTTCACTCACATGCCCCAATCTTTTGTGCCAGATTGTTGCATTTTCTCTGTCTTTAATGGTAGTGGCTGCAGTGCCGGTTATAGCGGTTCCCTAAAGCACATAAAGGCCTTAATGCTCATCTCCCTTTAGAATCACAAGAGAGCCTCTTAGGACCTTCAATACTCCACCTTCAGCTTTGTAAGAAAAACCAGCATCGTCTAGTGCCCCTAACGAAATTAAGTTCCTCCTCAACTCGGGGATCTGCCTAACATTCTTCAAAACATGAGATGTCCATTTGTCAACTTTAGTGTGATTGACCCAATGCCCGTGACTGTACATGAATTATTGTTCCCCATTAGAACCTTCCCTCCATTTATTTCTTCATTTTCTGAGAACCATATCCTACTAGGGCACATATGGTAAGTACAACCAGAGTCTAAGATCCATTCATCCTTACATTGACTGGTTGTGACAGTTAACATCTCAGAACTATCATAGCCATCCACTTGATTTGCTGAGGTAGTATCTCCATCCCCTGATTTATGTTCTAACTGCTTATTTTTCCATTCTTTACAGAATCTCTTGATATGGCCAATCTTGTTACAGTAGTAACATTTTCTTTGGCCTTGTCTTGACTTAGATCTAGAATTTGGCCTAAACTTAGGCTTACTGTTATCTCTTCTAGTTTGTCTTCCCCGAGAAAATAGACCCTCGTCTCCATGAGTATCCTTTCTTTGAGACATCTCCATTTTGATTTCTAGATCTCGTGACCTCAAAGTAGATAAAACATCATCAAGGCTAAGGCTATCTCTGCCATATTTAATGGCATTTTTCACCTCCCTAAAGGTCTCAGGCAAAGAGATTAAGAGAATTACAGCTTGGTTTTCTTCTTCTACCCTTTCACCAATATTTGCTAAATCTATGACAATTTTATTAAAATCATCTAGATTTTTCTCAAGACTTTTACTGGTATCCATCTTAAACCCCAAAAGGCTTTCCTTGAGATAAATCTTATTAGTAAGAGATTTTGTCATATGAAGTTGCTCAAGTTTGAGCCATTCCTTCGCAGTCGTGTCCTCCTCATTGACTTGCCTCAGGATGTTATCTACTAGGTAAAGGATTATTGTTGAGTAGGCGATCTCTTGCATCTCGTCTTTCTCTTCATCCGTTGCCTTTACATCTTTCATATCTCCCAAGGCCTTGGCCACCTTCTGCTGAACTAGAATGGCCCTCAATTTCTTCCTTTATAGGCCAAAATCTCCGGTGCCGTCAAACTTCTCCAGTTCAAATTTCGCTGTCCCCATCCTAGAGAAAATTCCTTCAAGATTCTCGAATCAAGAATCTCCGATTACTTCTTGAGTCTTCACCGATCGGAAATACAACCGTCGGCTCTGATACCACTGTTGGAACAAGACACTTTTTGTGGACCGTACATATTCTGTACTTTTCTTTTAATTTATTCGAAACCAATTGCCTTCTACTTTATGCTTATCTTTTGATTACCTTTTAGCTATGTTTACAACACATGAAAAAGAAAAGGTAAAGTTGTGTTTTTCTTTCTCATTTAACTATTTGTTTACTTATCAAATTAAGAATCATAGTTTGATACGGGTCCCACACATTATAGAAAATGGAAAAGGAAATACCAACCCTTGAGCCTCCGGGTAATGATTTCCTGTTAAAGATAATGAAGGCAAATTTAGTTTTGCACCTTTAATAAGTTCACAGGTTAGAAGCCAATGACTATTAATTATGGAAAGAGCATTTAAATAATTACATTGATAAAGTTAAATCCTCACTCTCTTATAAAAGGTGGATCCTACATGAGTCCCACAAGTATTGGGGTCCACCAAGTATTGGGGTCCACTCTCTCGCAGAGAGTGTGGAGATATATTCCTATAGAGTTATGCAACATTTTTCTTTAAACTATGACTACAACAATTTTCTCTGTTTTGTGTTAGAGCTAGTGAAGCATCTAGGGGGAGTTTAGTCGTCAGATTTCACCAATGTAGATTGGTCACTTTTTTGTCGTCGTTGTTTTCCAATGCAAGGATTAATTTATCTAACCATACAAAAGCTTGCCAAATAACTCTGAAAAAGTCTTAAGGAAAATTGTTCACATATTTTCATTGATCACGTTGATAAATTTGGTTGGAGACGTGATTTTCCTAATGTCTTCGTCTTAGACTTTTTCAACGGATGGCACTATTCCTAGCTCGCAAGCGTTTTATAGCTTTTCCTTCCTAGGGCGTGATAATGTCACTGTTCTCTTGACAAAAACAAAAGTATTGTTTTATCTGGAAAAGGAAAACAAAATAATTGTATCGTTGACAAAATTACTGAAATGACTGAAAAAATTTTAAAATTAAATAATGTAATTTACGTATTTAAGTTAAAGATTTTTCATGTTATATTTTATGATTAAAGAATTTATAGAATTAATATCAATATTTTAAAATTTTATAGTAAATTTTATGTTAAGTTCATTTGTTATGATCAAGTAAATTCGGTTGATAATTCTCACCGCAGTTTAAGACGGAAAAAAATTTAATCCATGAATAGCTTGAGAATTTTAATTATAAGAATTTTTTTAGCATAGTATGATATTAGTAGCATGTCGAGAAATGCTCTAACATTCGAGAAATTCTTAATTGCCGAACAGTTAAATCGAAGTCACGCGAATACCAAAAAATGCTATCTAAGACAACGTCGGTAATAGTATCATTTCCAAGATATAATAAAGAAAAAGTAAAGTCTAGATTTTAAGTAGTTTAGAAAAAAAATATTTAAGACTTGAAACAATCCGAAAGTTTTTCGTGATTAAGAATTTAATTCGATATTGAATTATCCAGGGATTAGTATCAGACTGTAAATTTTCTAATTAACTTAGCTTAAGAAACTTAATCAAGAGCTAAAGCAAGATTAGGCAAAAGTCTATAAGTAGAACCTAAATAAACCAAGCACCACTTTTCTCCCATTTGCTCTCATTATTCTCTCTTATTCCCAAACAAAACCGCCCCTCTAGTCCTCAAATTTTCTTCCACTCTTCTAATTCCAAGACATTAGCAAACCTTAGAGGAAGAAGAAGGTGATCAAAGAGGTTAGGAGGTGTCAATTTATATTGGTCTTTAAGGGTAAACCTTAACCTCTCCTTCTTTTTTAGTAAAGTTTAAGTTTGAGAATCCATTGATGTAATTTGTGGTTCTTGAGGAAATAGTTTGTAATAAGGGTGTGTGACTTTTATGGTAGTTTTGTATGTTTTGAGGTTATCTTGGTTGGTTGTGTATGGTATGTTTATGTTTAGTCTAATTTTTTACATGATTTAAGTTAATTTTTGGTTTAGAACGTTTAAACTTGTAAACAAGCATTATAAAGCGAGATTTTTTAGTTACTCTAAGCTTAAAGTTGTAGTTCTCAATGTTTAGAACGCTTTTATGTGATTGTGAAAAAAAAAACCCAGTTTTAGCCCTAAATACAAGTTTTAAGTCGTTTTTCAAAACATAGCAAAGCTGTCCAAAATTGTTTAAAAAACTGGGCAGCAACTATTTGCAGCCAAACGGGCCCTTTAGAGGCCGAATCGCAGTTTTCTCACCACACAAAAATTTTAGATCTCGACGAGGCGAAAAATTTTTTGTGCGGAATAGATTTTTAAAATCCAACTCTAAAATATAGCAAAACACAGATTTCAGAAACTACACAGTTTTAACCAGACAAAATTAAAATTGTTTTGGTTTTTAACGAAAAAGTTCATCAAAGAACCCTAGACGTGATTTTCAAAAAATATGATAATTTCATATTTCGTTTTAACGGAATATATTCTTAAAGAGAGTTTTTAAAAAATAAAAATAAAAAAGTCCCTAAGACAGTTTTACGGTAAATTTACAAACTAATAGTAAAAAGACTAATCTCAATAGTTTCAAAAGTAATAGCGTCAGTTATCGATAACAATTTTATTTAGAACTGATAATGGAATTTTGGTACTTGTAATTCCTTTTTTAATACAAAACTTCGGTAACGGTTTCTTTTAAAACCTTAGCAGTTTTTAAGAAAACATCCAAAAGGAGACTTACGAGCTCTATATGTAGGCCCTTAGACTTACAATGTTAGATGCGGGTCCAACGCCCGTATTAATTCAAGAACCCCCGCTCAAGTCTAAATTTTGATGGTCTAGTGTTAGAACGCTTTAATTAAGTCTCTAGGCTGAATTGAGCCTTAATACTAGAATGAGCTCAATAAGATAATTTATGAAGATTTAGCTGCTATATTAGATAATTGATTATCAACCTAAGCATGTGTATGTTAAGGGCAATTAAGAAAAAATAAGATTTTGAGGATTTAATAAGCTAATCCTTATAATAAATTTTTATGATCCTTTAATAAAAAGTAAAACATGTCTTAAGAAAAGGATTAGATTCCTTTATAAGTGTGCTAAATTAAAATAGTAAATGATAGTTAATCTCACACTCTTAATGGGTATCCGTTTTCAGATATAAGCAAGTAAGAGAATAGATTGTTAGGCAATTAGTGAATTCCAGCTCTGTGAAATAAGTAAGTAGGAATCTCACCTACAATATGAATAGATTTTAAAAAAATGTTACACATAATATAAATGCATGTTTATGCTTTGTGTTATAGTATGCAATGTCATGCCATAATTTATACACCTTAATAAGTCCAGTGAAACTTATAAGAATAATATCAGTTGAGTGTTGTACCAGCCTTCGCGAGAGAGGTAATTAAGACTCCATGAGGGAGATAAAAAGATAATAAGGTAAATCACGGTGTCGTTGGGGACCTTGCAAACCCTAACTTCCTGATGATTGCGAGCAGATGGTACGAGCACTCGGGTCCATCAGTTAGTAAGATAAGATGAGAAAATAAGAGTTTAATAAGACATGATCATAATTAAGCATAACTGGCTCATGCATATTTATTCATGTGAACTTCCAGTTGTTTTACGAGAGATAGTTCCCACTTACTGAGCAAAAGCTCATTATAAAATATTTATACTGTAGGTAAGCAACATGTACCTAATACTTGATGGACTGACGACAAAGCGGCGGACGAACGGTGTGGAGATCGAGAAATAAATACTACTCGCAATTATTTTCGCAAATAATTTTTGATAATATAATAAATAATTTTACTAATTATGATTCTGGAACTATATGTTATATAGTTATGTTAATTATGACTGCTAAGCATGTGTAAATAAGTCAAACTTAAGGAACAAGTGTATACATATATGTGCTATGAAAGATGAATATGTTAAGGTATTAATATTTTGTTATAACCGAGAAAACAATTCAAAATTGTCGTTTACTTATAGTAATTTTTTTTTTTTTTTAAAAAACGTTCTGCATATTTTAATAAATTTTAATAAATATATGTTAAAGTCACGTATTTAGCTTCGTCACAACAACAATGACAAAGCAAAATTTATTCACTCCAGTTCATTCATTTTTTTTTCTTTTTTCAAAGTACTAACAATATTATAATCAGTATGGGATTACAAGTAACTTGTCATCGCCTGATACCCTTGTCCCAACTATATTATAATCAGTTTGGGATTACAAGTAACTTTAGAATCTGCAGGTAACAATAATTCCACACTTTTGGTATAAAATAAAAAAATAAAAAAAAATAAAAAACAAAAAAAAAACAAAAGAAAAAGATAAAGCTTGTATAGGTAATTCCACACTTAGATATACAATAAAAGTCCAACACCCACAAAGTCAAAAGGAAAACAAAATTGGTACATAATAGACCAGTCAAAGTTACTCTTCCCGATAAAACTTCGGAGAAGGAGAGAAGTTTCTACTTATCATATAAAAGCCTTGCTTCGCGTTGTACTCTGATTTGCTTCCATTTAACAGTACAAAACCAATGAAGTTCGTTGTAATATTGTTCTTCTCTCTTAGTTTCTGCATCCACTATTCTTTGGCAGTTGATGACACCTTAAAACCAAACCAAACTCTCCAAGACACCGGCCAAACTCTGGTCTCGACCGGGGCAAAATTCAAATTAGGCTTTTTCAGCCCACCGAATTCCAAGGACCGCTATGTAGGAATATGGTTCAACAATATTGCAGAACTCACACCCGTCTGGGTCGAAAACAGAGACAACCCTCTCACAGACTCGTCGGGTATCTTCAAAATCACCGAAACCGGAAACATAGTAATCCTCAGCAACAAAACGGAGAACCCCATATGGTCCTCAAATTCATCAGCGAAAGACCCAACTTTGCAGCTCTTAAACACAGGAAACCTCGTGGTTAAAGATGGTGACAGTGGAAACTACGCGTGGCAGAGTTTCGACGATCCCTGTGATTCGCTCATAGCAGGTATGAAGCTGGGTTGGGACTTCAAAACTGGTCAAAATTGGAAGCTGAACTCCTGGAACAACCTCCAAGATCCATCCACCGGAATCTACACGTACGAACAAGACCGTAACGGGATTCCTCAGTATCTTCTACGTAGAGGCCAAGACATCCTGTACAGAAATGGTCCTTGGGATGGTGTTCGATCAGGCGGCGACGCAACTCCCGCGCGAGAGCAATCATTCTTTATACCCAAATATGTTGTCAACGAAACCCATAACTACTATACCTTCGACAACGCCGACAATTCCACGCTTACCAGGTTCTATTTGAATGCATTGGGATCCCCATCCCAGCAAAGGCGGGACCACACGACCGCCAGTTGGGTTCTCACCTTCGCGGTGCAGAAAGAGGATTGTGACACGTTCGCACGTTGTGGTCCTAATGGCATCTGTGTCGAGAGTGAGAGCTCTGTTTGCCATTGCCCAACCGGGTTTGTTCCAAAAGCACCAGAAGCCTGGGCTGCAGGGAATTCAAGCAGCGGCTGCATACTGAAGACGAGCTTCAACTGTAGCGCCAACGAGGGGTTCAAGAAGTTCTCTAAGTTGAAGTTGCCGTACAATTCGGAGTTTACGGTGAACGGAACGGTGGTGAAGAAGGAGGAGTGCAAGTTGATTTGTAGGAGAAAATGCTCTTGCGTGGCTTATGCTGTAGCTAAGGTTGGTGGGTGTGTGGTGTGGTCTGGGGAGCTGTTTGATATGAGACGTTTCAGTGTTGGCGGGCAAGATGTGTATATTCGAATGGATGCTTCTGAATTGAGTAAGACCTAATTACCCTCCTCTGCTAGAACATGGCCATTTTTTTTTCTTAATACTCTCAACTTGATTTAATCATGTTTTGCTTTGTGTTGAAGTGCTTCAGTTTTGGATCTCTGATTTAATCAGGTTTGTGTTGAAGGAGGAGTTGTTATTTTTGTTCTAATCCAACCGCCATTAGCCCCTTTGATTGCATTATTTTAAGATCAGAAATTGTTATTTTCTTACTCCTAATTAATGTATTAATTTGTCAATCTAATCTGCTACGGTTCACAGAATCCGATGAGAATGAAAAAAAAAGGGCTGTGATCATCGCAGTGTCAGTTGTCTCAGGGTTTGTTCTGTTGTTTTTGATGGGAGGGTACATCATGAGGAAGAGGAGGAGGGCCTCCCGCTCACACATAAGCCAATTTGGTACAATAATTTTCTTACTTTTCTTTTTTCTTTTAATGGAAATATCTTTAGTCAATAGTCATGACAATCTGGTTATCTAACTAATTCCGCCTACCACATTTGATTAAATATATATTAAATATAATAAAACATCTATCATAATAAATAAAACAGTTAAACTATTGGTATTGACTAAAGAATAAGGAAGAATTCTACCGGAATAAAAGATCACAAGACCTCTCGCTCGGATGAAAGAACGAATGAGTTTGAGATAAGTTGAAATCAGTAAAGAATTAGCAAATTTTTTAGTTAGAAAAAATGTGTCGAAATCAGTGAAGAACAATGTTTTCTTTATTTTTTGGTCCAAGCAATATTCCCTCCCTGACGTCTCCGTAAATATAATGCTGACATTCAGTAGAAAATCAATTTTTATATTTTAACGCTGCCTCTAAATTATAGTTGATAATTTCTTTTCCGTTGAATACAATAGTTGCTCAAAACAGAAAATGTATCATGTGGTATTGAATTGATCTAGTTAAAGGATGCACTACTTTTTTATGCGTATGTGTTTTTATGTTTCAGTACTTTATTTTCATTATTTTTTCAGATAACGCAGCAACCAATTCAAATGAACATGAACATCCTATTCTTCTAGAGGAAGACGTAGATCAGCTACCTTCATTTGGCCTGGATATCATTGCCAATGCTACTGACAACTTCTCCTCCACAAACAAAATTGGAGAGGGCGGTTTTGGTCCGGTTTACAAGGTATTTCATTGTCAAATGAAAAATCTTATCTCTTTCTATGAGTTTTTCCCCTCTCTCTTTATATATATATATATATATGTATGTATGTATATATGTATGTATGTGAAAAAATTGATCTATTATACAGGGAATGCTTCCAACTGGAGAAACAATAGCAGTGAAGAGACTTTCTAGAGATTCTGGACAAGGCCTTCCAGAGTTCAAGAATGAGGTGGTTTTAATTGCAAAGCTTCAACATTGGAATCTTGTGAGGCTGTTGGGATGTTGTATTGAAGGAGAAGAGAGGATGTTGATCTATGAGTATATGCCCAATAAAAGCTTGGACTTATATATATTCAGTTAGCTACCCCTAATCCATCTTGAGTTTTTTTTTTTATGTTTTTTTTTTTATGTTTGTTATGGTGTCTTTAATTGGTTGAGTAAAATATTTGTCATGTGAATTGACACAGATAAAACAAGGGGTAATGCACTTGATTGGCCGAAGCGGTTTGATATTATAGTGGGAATTGCTCGAGGCCTTCTTTATCTTCACCGAGATTCAAGGTTGAGAATTATTCATCGAGATCTTAAGGCTAGCAATATCCTCTTAGATGATGAGATGAATCCTAAGATATCAGACTTCGGCATGGCAAGAATATTTGGAGGTGACCAAAATGAAGTAAATACTAAAAGAGTAGTTGGAACATAGTAAGTTTCCATTTCTCGCTTATTATTCTTATATACTTGTTAAACCATTTTGTGATGCATCTCTTTATTTATTTATTTATTTTTGTTTTAATGCAGTGGTTATATGTCTCCGGAATTTGCAATAGATGGGCACTTTTCGGTGAAATCTGACGTCTTTAGCTTTGGTGTCATGGTTTTGGAGATTGTAAGTGGGAAGAAGAATAGAGGATTTGAACATCCTGATCATGAGCTTAACCTTTTGGGACATGTGAGTTGTGACTAATTAGTTAATCACTTTTCTATTTTGCCTTGTTTACCATGTCTTAATTTCTAACTCCCATGCTAATTTTGAAATTAATTTTGGGGAGTTTTAGGCATGGAAATTGTGGAATGATGGCAGACCAATGGAACTTATTGATATATTGATGGAGAACGTTCCTGTATCAGAAGTGTTGAGATGCATCCAAGTTGGTCTATTGTGTGTACAAAAACGCCCGGAAGATAGACCCCTAATGGCATCTGTCCTCTTCATGCTAGATAGCGAAAATGCTTCACTGCCACAACCTAAACAACCTGGATTTTACACTGAAAGAACTTTCACAGAGACTGATTCCTCATCGTCATTGAATAAGCAAAATATTTCTACGGAAATAACTATTACAATATTAAAGGGTAGATAAAATAAATAAATAGGAGAAAAGACGTATTTTTTTTTTCTTTTTGTGTTACAATATCTATAATATTTTTTATGTCTTATGTACTGTCTATTAATAATAGCCAATCAAATGAAAACAACACTTTTTTTTATTAGTTTTATAAATGCAAGGGATATTTTAAACTAGAGCCGCGGCCCTATTTCTGGAAAAAGTGTGTTTGGTTGCTGAAAATTCCAGTGTTGCCCCTACAGCTCCAAGACTTTAAATAGGATATTTTAGGGTTGTTTTAGGGCCCTTTTACCATCAGAGAATTGAAGAGAGAACATGTTACGATGACGGAGAACATGCTTAAGACAATTGTAAGGATGTTTTTAAGTTTCATTGTGTTCTAAATTTTCTAATCTACGGCTACGATGTAGCCGAATAATGATTTTTTGAAATTTTCAATTACTATTAGGCGAAATA